TTGTTCTTGGCTGAACTATCCAATTTAGGGGCCAATTGAAATGAATGTTATCCAAAAATGGGATTAAAAGAATCATGTCTCTAATTGAAAAAATAGACATCTCTTTAGGGTTTTAATGACTGCCTATTGGATGAACTTTTCTCTGTTGCTCATTATTTGTTCTGTACTGAGCAAGATTTTACTTCTCAGATACCAGTGCTTATGAAAGATCACACTATATACAGGGTCAACCACAAATGTTGGAAAGGAAAAATCCCCTCCTGTGAAAAGGAAATTATGTTTCTTTTAAAAATTAAATAGCCTTCTTATCACTTAAATTATTTTTAGTGTGAATCAGATATCAGTATTCATTATTTGCAACAAATTGCATGTGTTAGGGGAATATACTAAAATCCTCTAATAATTTTCCTTATTTGGACAAGGAAAAGTTTGTATGAGCTTCCTAAATATTTATTTTCATTCATAAGACTGATCTGTCCTGATTATTTAGACCCTAAGTGCAGATAAATGGGAATCAGCCAGCGAGATAAGCAACAGCTAGTTACTATTCTGTCAGTGTGTGTCAAATTTGGTTATGATTTGAACTTCTCCTTATGAAAATACTTGAACTTTTAAAATAATTATTTCATAAAATACATACCTTTCTTATCCTTAAAATACATCCTGAGGAGACAATAATTACATTTTATAATCAGGACAAGACTTGTGAATCATCAAGGATACATAATAGACAAAAATTCCAATTCTGTGGCCCATATAATTCTTTTTAACTGAGGACTTTGGTTATATTATTAATAAGTAGAAAAATATAATCCTGAATACATCTTAGTATATTTTTCCTATAGAGTGATCAATATTTCAGCTTTGAAGGTACTTTTCAAAGACAAAAAAGCTGGATTATCTATTTCCCCCAAGCTAACAGAAGGAGCCCTGGTGGCGTAGTGGCTACACAAGGTCAGCAGTTCAAAACCAGCTGCCCCCAGGAGAAAGATGGGTCTTTCGATTCCCGTAACGAGTTCCGGTCTTGGAAACTTAAGGCGCACTCTGCTCTGTCCTGTTGGGCCACGGGAAGCCGCCATTGACTTGATGGCAGTGGGTTGAGTTGAAAACTAACAGATACTCCAAGTTTCACTACGGAAATGTCTTTTCCTTAAGGAGAGCTTACCTAGTTTTCCCTTTTAAAAAGCATATTGGACAACAAGTTAACAACAGATAGTTTTGTTTTTTTTTAACTGGTCAATTGCAGTTAACATAGTCAACCCTTTCATGACTGAATGAACTTTTTCTTTGAACTTCTGATACCATGTCTTTTGGTAGTACAAGGCATGCTCAATCAGGGGGAAAGTTTACTTTAGGTCATAAGGATTCTGATATAATTAAGTGGGGCACATATGTCCCATGTATTCTGTTCATAAAATTGATGGGTCATAAAATTATGTAGTTTTGAATTGCAACTAGAATAGCAGCTTCCTAAGGAACTCCAGAGAGTGAAAATATAGGTAGATGACATATGTCCCATGGCTTTTAAAGCGAACAGGATTTTGCCACCTGGGATACACACACACACACACACACACACACACACATACATATATATATTTGACATTGGGGAGATATACATATATATATATATATTTATTTATTTATTTATTTATTTGACATTGGGGACAGACTTCCTGACATTTCCCATGTTCAAATTCTGCTTCTATAAAAGTTAGAGAGAAGTGGAAGAAAGCCAAGTTGATTGATCCAAATCTTATTACCTATAGAACTTGTGAAATCTCTCACGAAGAGTCAAGGTTAAACCGTATCATTATCTTTCTTTGGAAGTTCATTGAGTATTTCCTTTTTCTCCTTTACTTTTTGATTCATTAGTGGGGAGAAAGGTAGGACGTAAACCTTTCTGGTCACTTGAAGCAAACTGGAAGGATAGTCATGAAACAAATGACATGGCTCAGCCACACATCTTGTCCTCGGTAACTTAGCAGACAGAGCAGTGAAGGGCAGACATTTCAGAAGTGCTGCCAGGCCGTGCTTCCCATAAATGAACAAACAATAGAGGCGCAGCAGCAGTGGGCACTACAGGAAGTTGGCCTGATTGCAAGCACTGCCCGGGACACTTTGTGGGTGAGCGCAAAGGAGCTGAAATAAAAGCACAGAGATATCAGCAATGGGAGCCGTCAGTTTTGTGTGTGTGTGTGTGTGTGTGTGTGTGTCCGGGTTTTGTTTCATTTTTCTTTTTTGCATGTTTCCATAAAGGTGTTCTTTCAAACCCATGGAAATACATGTATTCATTTTGAAATTAGTAAAACATAAAATATATCAATGGATGGGGCACCTTGGTTGGAAGATGCTAATGGTAGATAACTGGGGGTTACTGTACAATTCTTCCAGCGTTTCTGCCTGCTTAAAACATTTCATAATAACACGTTCATAATAAAAGTTTCATAATAACCCCTGCAGAACTCCGTGGCCTAACATACCTTTCTCTATAAAATATCCACTTGCTATTACATTCATCGATATATTGTGTAGGAAGCATGGCAACTTTTATTCCTGTCCTGTAAAAGGTGGCCCGTGAACATTACTTTTCCTGAGGAGCAAATAGTTCCCTTTTCGGGACCCACTCTTGCTTTCTCTCTAAAAATTTTGAAGAAGAACCCTGGTGGTGTAGTGGTTACATGCTGGGCTGCTAACTTTAAGGTCAACAGTTCAAAACCATCAGATATTTCGTGAGAGACAGACGGGGCCTTCTACCCCTGTGAACCTTTCTCTTGGAAACTCACAGGGTCCTTCTCTCTTATTCTACTGGGCTGCGAGGAG